TACCCTACAGAGTGCAAGAATGTTCCTCAGAGAGCAGCAGATACAATATAACAGTTGTGAAATTGCGCCAAAGCTATGATGGAACCTAGAATTTCAATAGCAATTATTATACTGAGAAATAACAAGAAAAAGACAGTAACACAGCAATGACAGTAAACGAAACAGAGCAACAAGGCTCCTATTCCTAATTACAGACTTAAACACTTAACAATAACAAGAATTCCAATGTAGAAAATAGACACCTAAATACCTCACTCACTCTCAAGCCAAAATACCTAGGCCAAAGAGATCCTTTCCCAAAACTCCACTCCAAATATTCTGAATACATGCCTCCTACACTACACACACTACCTATCTTTTATCCTATACCTTAGGAATATTCTAGAATAGTTTTCCTAACAAACTAGCTAATTCACTAACTAACTATGGCCTCCTTTGTATTGCTGAATTTGGGCCCACTAGTCATAGCCCATCAATACTCCCCCTTCAAAATTCACCTCGTCCTCGAGGTGAGGAAGCGAATAAGGGATGTAACCAAACATCCACCAGGATCCTATTGCTTGAAGCACATTGAACAAGTGATGATTGAAATAAAAGAACTGCCATTGCTGAATTTTGTGTTGGTGTTTTGTGCGTCGTGGCCTTGTATCTTGCCAATTGGGTCGTGTGTTTGTCCTTGAAGCCCACTCACTTGCAACTGTTGTAGCACCCTCCTTACTGCCTCCGAGAGATTGTCATCAGCCATTGTTACTGCAACTTCCAAGTCCATTCCCAAGCAGTTAGCCAAATAGCTGTATGATGCTCCTGAATCGATCAAGACGACCACCCCCTTCCTATTAATTTCTCCCCCAAATTTCGACGAGCGGCCCGAGGTCGTTCCAACGTTGCTATAAACGTTGCGTTGGAGCAACCCATCATTTTCGTCGCCTCCCTGGTTGGCCTTCTCTTCCTGCGTCAAACGGCAAAAACGAAGTCGTCAAGATTCTTGCTCCCAGGTCACTGGTGAAGTCGCACCGTTAACCGGTGGACTTTGACCTATCTGCGCCGCCGCCACATTCACCTGCCCTTTCCTATTCTCGTTCGATTAGGGCTAACTACACTTCCTGATGGTGTTTGTCCACCATGCTTTGGGTTATTGTTGTGGGCCGCTAATGGAATATGTAACTGAGGCCCACTAAGTCCCCCTCCAGTCATACCCACCAGCCCAGAATGATTAGCAAGCACTCGTCTCCCATTTAGTTCTCTTACAATTCCTGGCCCAGTTTCGTTTCGGCCCAAATTAGAGCTTCCCCTTCCCAACGTTGTCTCCCTCTCTTCCACTATCAACAACACCCCTCTTCTCAAATCTGTCAGATCATGAAATTGAACCTCAGCCTGAATGTCCTTCGATTCCGTCATAAGAACAGCCTGCATTCCCCTTCTGTCATCTTCTTCCTTTACTACCTTTTCTTTTTCTTCTTCTTCTTCTTCTGACTGAGTATTGTTTTCCTCTTTGTCAATTTCTTCTTTTGCCTTTTTTTCTTCACCTTCTTTTTCTTTTTCCTTTGTTTTTTTTATTCTTCGCATTCCAGATCCTTCCGCACCTTCAATTTTTGCTTCTTCTCCTTTGCTGATTTCGTCTTCTTCATTTTCTTCTATTTTTTTGTTTCTTTTTGTACCGCCTCTACTTCTGCATCTTCTTTCTCTGCACTTTTAATTTTTTTTTTTCTTCTACAATATCATTTTCCTTCGTGCTTCGATCTGCTTCTTCTTTTATCTCTACTCCGATCTCTTTTTTTTCTTTTTCCTCCCTTAGTTCTGGGTTGTTCGATATTTCATCCTTCTCTACCAAATAGATCTCAGGTATATATCTCCTTATAAATGTTCTATCAAAGCTCCGCCAGCTTACATGAAGACTGAGCCCACTCCAAAGTTTGTACCAGTTGAGTGCACGACCTCTCAACCCCTTCACAGCTTCATTCAGCATATCAGCTTCTTGAATTTGACGTGCTTGAAAATGTGGTTCAAGCCCGAGCAACCATCCACAAGCTTTAATTCCATCTTCATCTCCATAAAATTCTGGAATCATTTTTTTTTTAATAGATCTGAATCAAAGAGCACTCCCAGGATTGTAGTGCTTTGATACCAAATTGATCGAATCTATGATTTCAATAGCAATTATACTGAGAAATAACAAGAAAATGGCAGTAACACAGCAATGGCAGTAAACGAAACAGAGCAACAAGGCTCCTCATCCTAATTACAGACTTAAACACTTAACACTTAACAATAACAAGAATTACAATGTAGAAAATAGACACCAAAATACCTCACTCACTCTCAAGCCAAAATACCCAGGCCAAAGAGATCCCAAGAGATCCCAAGAGATCCTTTCCCAAAACCCCACTCCAAATATTCTACACACGCTACCTATTTTTTATCCTATACCTTAGGAATATTCTAGAATAGTTTTCCTAACAAACTAGCTAATTCACTAACTAACTATGGCCTCCTTTGCATTGCTGAATTTGGGCCCACTAGTCACAGCCCATCAGTTGATGGGCCTATAAGAAATAATCAAAGCCCATTAGTATTTTAGAATTAGTATATATAAAAGTTTAGGGTGATGTTTCTGTTATGCGTGTATTCAATACTGGTTTAGGGAAAATTGAGAGACCTCTAGGAAACTCTTGAGCCTAAGTATTTGGTTTGAGGGGGAGTTGAGGCTTTCTGGGTTTATTTTCTGCATTTTATATTGTATTAGTGTATGTAAAAAGAGGCTATGCCTCCATTGTTAATGAATTTAGTCTTGTATTTTTTTGGGTTCCATCAATTTCAATAGCAATTATACTGAGAAATAACAAGAAAATGACAGTAACACATCAATGGCAGTAAACGAAACAGAGCAACAAGGCTCCTCATCCTAATTACAGACTTAAACACTTAACAATAACAATAATTACAATGTAGAAAATAGACACCAAAAGACCTCACTCACTCTCAAGCCAAAATACCTAGGCCAAAGAGATCCCAAGAGATCTTTTCCCAAAACCTCACTCCAAATATTCTGAATACATGCCTCCTACACTACACACACTACCTATCTTTTATCCTATATCTTAGGAATATTCTAAAATAATTTTCCTAACAAACTAGCTAATTCACTAACTAACTATGGCCTCCTTTGCATTGCTGAATTTGGGCCCATTAGTCATAGCCCATCAAGCTATAATCCTATCAGAGAAGCATTTAGATGCATTCCAAATTTTTTTCCCTTATGAATTTCTTCAAATAAATATAATAATCTGAAATAGCTGAAATAAATAAGGACCCAAATTTCAAAGGATCACCTAGTATCATATAAATGTACCAAAATTACAACTGAGATAGGTCAAGGGGTTACATCATCACCAAATAAATTACACTAGTTGTCTCATCAGTATATACTACAGAATCAATATTAATAGTAACTTTACTATGTGTGTGCAAAATCTGGCCAGTAACAGTAAAGAAAGAAGAAGAAAAAAAATGAGATTTTATTGAAGGATGCTACCCTGCACAGCAAGATGAATCTTGTACCAACAACTCTTCAGAGAAGAAAACTCTCTGATCTGCTACTCTCTCTTAACCAACTATTTCCTAACCTCATATCTTCTCTTCCTAGTCTCTTCATATTCTTCTTCTGTTACAAATCAGTTAAGATATTCCTAACTGATTCTCATCCCAAAACTAACAACTAACCATCAGTTAGTAACTTGGCCCACAAGGCCCATATCTTTCTTTTTATTCTTCCTGACATAAGTGTGAGTAATTGAGGGTTTCCTAGCAGTGTGATAGTACTCCAAAGCATAAAATATATATGAATTAAGGATAGTATACTCTCAATTTTGGTAGTATATAGTGCTTAGGTACCCTCATTATAGAAAGACTAAAGTAAGGACATTTATTATCAAATGAATAGGAAAGAAAAACAAAATCACATTTGCTACAAATTAACTAATTTCATTGGTCAGACAACAATCTAACAATTTTGATAAAGATTAACATACTGTAGCATGTCTACGGTAGTTCCTAGCAGTGTGATAGTACTCCAAAGCATAAAATATATATGAATTAAGGATAGTATACTCTCAATTTTGGTAGTATATAGTGCTTAGGTACCCTCATTATAGACAGACTAAAGTAAGGACATTTATTTAACAAATGAATAGGAAAGAAAAACAAAATCACATTTGCTACAAATTAACTAATTTCATTGGTCAGACAACAATCTAACAATTTTGATAAAGATTAACATACTGTAGAGTATCTACGGTAGTTCCAAACCAAATAGTATATCAGGTTAATGTTGACAAATAACAAAAAAAAGTGAAACTTTCAGTTTGTTGAGATATATAGTCCCACATTGGTTGTATGAGCAACTAATGTGGAGTTTATAAGGCCTTGGGCACTCCCACCCTTTGAGCTAGCTTTTGAGGTGGTGTATCCCAAAGTTCTTTACACAGTTGAAGTTGCTATAAGGTAAACTTGTAAACCACTATACCAGAAATTCGTGATTGGAGAATGATAAAACGACTTCAGACACGAGACAGGCTCCCTAGAAGGATATATACACCGAGCTTGGTCTCGTCTGTATGCCTTAATAAAAAAAAAGGTCACGATCTTTTGAGGACATCTTTAAAGTTAATTGTACAAATTATTCTTATATGTTTAAACAAATTTTTCCCACAAGATAATTAATCAATCTTACCCTTGGACAAAAAATGAAGTGAATTTTAATGTAATGTGCTTTGCCTATTCAAATAATAATAATAATAATAATAATAATTAAAAAAAAAAAAAAAAAACAATAGTGGAAATGAAGATAGCCTGTGAGTGGTGTAAGTAACGTACTAACCATTCGGTATTACTAAAATACAGTGACAGAAAGCATCAGTGAAAAGTAAAAATCTTAGAAAATGAATTGTCAGCTTCTGCAATCAAGGACAGCCAAAACTAAAAACTTCAATGAGTAAAGTATATCAAGATGATCTATCTGACTTCTGACCTTTGTATGCATCCAACAGTTGTGGCACTTTTTTCTGAAATCGGGTCACATATCTCGCCAAAAACTTTTTCTCACTAATCGACATAAAGCTAGTTATGCGCAAATCTCTCTTGATCAAACCCCTTGATTTCAAAATTTCAACAACTGCACATCTAGGGATCAATGTTTTTTCCAAGTTGCGATTAAGAATCACAGGGCATCCAGCAATGTCTTCTGAGGGAAAACCCATATCCTTCACCAAGAAGCTTAGTATCTTCATAACCTTCTTTTCTGACAGCATCATACACTGGGGATTCTTTTTGAAAGCTAGAAGACAGATATCTTTAGACCAGCCCCACCTCTCAAAAACCTCTACTCTCAACTTCCACATTGCTTTATTCATCTTTGCAAGTACTTGAAGTGCTAAAACAAAATTTGATTTCAAAGTATCAAACCCCATTTCCTTCACTGTCTCGACAGCCTCAACAAATCTCGAATGCTTCATGAATGCCACACGAGGAAAATTGGTTACCAGGAGAGAAATGGAACCTTGAGGAAGGCCAAGCTGTCTCAAAGCCTCTATGTTTGCAACTGAATCAGTTATTACCGCACAACTGCGAAAGCTCCATCCCACATGCTTCAAAGTTGAAACTACTTCCTTATCACTGCGTAGTAGACTCCTGATGATCTCATAACGAGGTATAATGTTGTTCTTCAAGCTTGTGTGTAAAAATGAAGGGTTTCCAATGAATATTCTGGGGAGGTCAGTTGTTGAAAACCCAATAGAATGGAAGAACATGAGTTTTGGCAAAAGGGTTTCCTCAGGTTTTGCAAAAAGCAGAAAAGGTTTTTTCTTGACAAGGATTGATAATTGGGTCCGCGAGAACCCATAGTTCCTGAGAAGATCAATAACAGCATTTGGGCCATCTGGGTTTTTCAATTGCAACCTTTTGGAGAGTTTCAGGGTCATTTCAGGTGACAACCCACATGAGTTGATGAGGGTTGATACAGTAAAGGAGCCACCTTTGTGGTGATTTGTGTTGGATACATATAAAGAACGACAAGTGAAGAAAATAACCGCATTGGGGCAATGAAAACCCAAGTTGCGGGTTCTAATAGTTAATCTTTGAATCAGGAAATGGTGCATTGTGTAATGAACAGGAGTAGTAGATTGATGACTCACCCAGTTTCAGTTTGCAGGGTTATACTTCCTTCCCCGCATTCTTCACCGTTCACTGCCGCAAAGTGATTCCAAAGTCGAATGACAACACCACCAATGGAACGAATGAGAGTCTGTGTGTTCAAAGGGTTATATCTGAGGTAATGGGGGACCTGCTATCCAACGATTAACAATTGTAAATCTGTCGCGGAAAAGAGGAGAAGGAGAGAAAATGAGAGAAGAGGGAAAGGGTAAATGATTCCGTATTTGTTATTAATTGTTTCCAGGCATGCTTTTGCCACGAATGGCACATCATTACAATCATTTTTGCTATATTTAAAAGGGATAGGATATTGTGACACTCAAATTATGTTACAGACACCCAGTCAATCTCACCGTTAGATCGTTTATGTTGATCCAACGGTTATATTTATTTCCATCTTTGTATGATCATGATTTTCCAAATTTAAAGTGAAAGCATTAAATATGGGAAATCATAACCATACAAAGGTAGAAATAAATATAAAATATTAAATTTAGAAAATCATGACCATATAAAGATGGAAATAAATATAACCGTTGGATCAACATAAGCGATCTAACGGTGAGATTGACTGGGTGTCACATGGGTGTAACATAATTTGGGTGTCACAGTATCATATCCCAAAAAAAAGAAAGAAACGAGGATGTTACTCTCATATTTTTCACGAGAATAGTTCTCTTGTATTAGTCACGTGAGATCCATTATTAAAGAATAAAAAAAAGTGGATAGAATTTTTGAAGTGAGATAATATGAGATAATTATCTCATGTAGAATGAGAATAATATTTTTCAAAAAAAAAAAACATGAGCTTTCTAATTTTGTTTGACTCTTGTTGATTCATATTCACTCCATTAAATGTCTCATTTAATCAATTAATTCATTTATTCGAGTAAGATTCTTTTTCTTTTTTGTATACATCGAGTAAGATTCTCTTAATCGAGTAAAGGTTTACTTATTTGAGTAAATGTCAGGTAAATAATATATGTTTTAATCGAAAAATATTTCTACAATTAATGCAGATAAGTTATCTGCATTTATTTTCAAAATAACGTCGTTTTGGGATTGAAAGATTAGAAAATTATAAAGACTATAATAATTCTGAAATAAATTAAAATTACAAAAATACCATGATTTTCATCCCAAAACGACATCGTATTGACTTACTGCGCAGAAAAAGTGAACCCATGTTTTAAAAGCTCCATTTATTTCGGTAAAGGCCATAATTTAAACTTGATTTTCCCTTCTACTCATATCCAAGATTCAAAATTGCTTTCCCAACTAATAGTTTTTTTATATTTTTGTAAGTTTTCCCTCGTAATTTTTAAATTTTTGTGTGGATTTTTATGCAAAAATTCCAGATTTGAACCTTAACCTATTCTTTTCAATTTTAGCTCAATTTTATTTATTTTTTACAACTTTCCATTGTGATTGGAGTATTTAGTGACTGATTAAGGAGTATTATTGGTTCCCCATGACTTATAGACGCTCACGCGCAACTCGCTGATGGGAGGCGTATCAAGAATCGTCAATGTGAGCTCGTTGGTTCATCCCAGCGATATGGACTTGTCATATGGTTATTTGTTTCAAAAAATCAATCCAAGACAAGTCATTTTGTCTCCAATTGTCTTTCTCGATCCATAGTGGAGCCAAATTATTTGGATTCAAATTTTTTCATAAATGAGCGGTTTGACATTATATTTGTTCTTGAGAATGCTTACAAAAATATTTTGTTCATATTTAGAGGTGATGGTGAATGTCTTTTTCAAAAATTTGTGCTTCTTTGATTGAGACTTCACATCTATGGTATATGGCATTAACCTTGTCATGACTTTTGATATTTGGACTGCTTTGCTTGGTTATGATTTTGATGTCATTGATGATGTTGTGCCTTGTTGGGGAGCACCAAGCATGTGGAGGCTGCCAACCAAGATGCAAATTTGAGACTTCCAATATGATGCTTCGATGTCGGTCAGAAATTAGATATATACCATCCTTTTAGGTCACATGTAAATGTAGATAAGCCACAAATCATAACCAATCACCCAACTTCTCACTTGGAGACAGTGGCGGACCCAGGAAGTTTTGTTTATGTCCGCACTCTTAGTGTCGAGGGTTCGGGGGCAGCGCTTTTTTTTTTTGTAAAGAAAATTTAAATCAATGCTTTATTTACATGAAATTTTTATTTCTGTATTTATATCACATTCCAGTTATAAAGGCAAACAAAATTCAACATGGAAGAAAAAGTGGCACATGTGATTTTTATACAATCCGAGGCCTGAAGAAATAACTAAACACTCCTTTGATGAGTAAAAGAAAGTAACTAACTAGAACCTAATCCACTTGCATTTACAATAGTGATTGTTCTATCTCTTGCAAGAAGTTGCAGTTCCTGCCGCAGGCTGTTAACCTGTAGGTCAAAGTCTAATAAGCATTTTAGATTTTTTGCAATCTTTTATAAGAAGTGAAACTACCACTCTGGATTTATAGGTAATATTAGATATGTGTTGTGATATATTTACAAAAATATCATCATGCATGTTTAGAAGCCAATTCATGAAAGGAAAATAGCAATCCTGCTATTTAATTATTAACACTTTTTACTCTAATATGGTTATGTACTCATGTTTTATTCGATGCCTTGAATAAGGGAAAAGAAAATATATTCTAACAATGGTACAGTAATATACAATTTCTTAAAATATTGTCTTGGACTTTCACCCATCCCTGTTCTAGTCTAATTTAATAGAGAGTGATTCTTTTTTGTTTTTTTACAACGTAATTTTACAATACCTAAGTTCTCAAGCTAAAATCACTAATTTTTCCACACCCATCCACCTAAGTTCTTTTTTTCGTGTTTCTGTATAATAAAACCACTTTTTTTGTTTTATTTTTATTTTTTAAGAAAAGATTGACCATTTGTAAGCCTACATTAGCGAAATGGATTTAACTATTTCCATTACCAACATGTTGGGCTTAGCCCACTTTTCTTTCCATTGGATTAAAAGCTAATCCTAAACCCAAAAATATCTCCAGCTAGAAACCTAATAGGCATATGATGTCTGATGATATGAGGCAGGGAAACAAACAAAAAGAAATAAAAAAACTTAGCAGCGTGGACGGCGCGATGAGGAAGGAGGGTGCGAGGTGGTGTGCCGTTGATGGAATTGCAGGGCGTGTGGCGAAGGCTCAATTACTGAGCATGTTCAAAAGTTCATTTGGGAACATTGTCTCTCCACACCTGCGGTTCAAAAGTTCCTTAATCTTATCTCCCCATTGCTTCCAGTCGAACCACTACATCCTTTTTTTTCTCAAAAATTTGTGTCCGCACTTGCGGACACTTACGCCAACGTAGGTCCGCCAATGCTTAGAGGTACAACAGTGAAAACAATTGGCAAAAAATAGTTATCTTCATCCTGTGTTATGGCAATCAATTGTGTATCTCATAAAGGTGAGTGTCATCAACTTGAATAACAGGCTTGCAGTATTTAAAAGTTTCAATACATTGGTGGAATATCTAAAAAAAACATAATTGAAAACGATATATTTAACATAATTGAAAACGATATATTTACTATCACGTTGGTGGTTGACAAAATAATCCTTTGTTTCAAGTTTGAACAACCTATGGAAAACTTCAACATGTAATTCAACCATCTAGGCAAGAACATATACGATTTGTCCTGATCACTAAATATATTCATTTTACCCTTCATTTTTGCTTTCCAATCCTTCCTATATGATATTGCTTTTTAATACTTACCAAAATCTTTTTGGTCAAAGACCAAAGCCAATCCACCAAGCTTCAACTCTCAAGAGTTACTTCCATGGGATGCAACCTACAATGATCACAACATAAGATCATTAACCAACTGTTACACAAGATAAAAACACAAGGCAAACACCCCCCCCCCCCACACACACACACACCATTCGACCATTTAGGTTTTTTTACACCTTTTATGTTGTTAATTTCTTTTTAACATTCCTATGGCATGCTTAACCTATCACAACACTATTTTAAGTCCACAACTTCATTTAATGATAACTCCACAACATCTTCCCTAATTTTCCTCTTTATGGCCGAATACAACCCAAGTACATGGCTAGGGATTTTTCTCACAAACTCAATGCATTACACACACATACAACCTAGTTAAACTTGATTCAAATCATCACAAGTCCAATTACACAAATTATGTATCATCCTTTCCTATTTTTCCCTTAATGGCCGAAATGTGCATGCTCATTCACCAAAGTATTTCTAATTCTATTTCATACCTCAAACACACCATACATCCTATAATAACTGTGGGCATGAGTGTGGGATTTCTCAAAATCTAGAGGGTTTCAAGAGCTACAAATGGGTGGGTTGTGTTTAGAAGGTTGTTTACTTGAATTTTCATGACAAACTTTGTTGATTTTGGTTAAGATTTGGTGATGAAATCAAAGGAACAAAATTTGCTCCTCCAACGGTGATGAACTCGGGTTTGAGAGATAGAAAGGGGAGGAAGATGAGTGAATAATGCTGGTGGCTTATGTGTCTTAAGTCACTGAAGTGGGTGGGTCCCACTTGCCACCTCACTCAATTCAAATTATTTCAAATCTCTCACTTAAACCACGAATCTTCAAATAATTTCTAAACTATTTATAAACTCCAAAATTTAACATTCACAAAAGTCCTTTAATTTTCCTTGAGCAGATGAATCCGAAGTTTTCCGGTCATTCAAAGAAATCACAGTTTTAAGCTGATAATTGCACTATTGGCACG